AGTCAATACACAGTCTCAAGGCACCATCTTTCTTTTTACCAAAGAGGGCCGGTGCTCCCCAAGGCGAAACACTTGGACGTATAAAGCCTTTATCTAGCAACTCCTGGAGTTGGATCTTCAACTCAACTAACTCAGCTGGGGCAAAACCATAAGGTGCCATCGAAATCGGCGCCGTGCCGGGCACTAGATCAATAGAGAACTCTATCTCTCGGTGAGGTGGCAATCTAACAAGATCTTCGGGAAAGACATCTGAATACTCACAAACCACCCTCGGTAATACATGCTGGGTCTCACCACTCTCACCACTCTCAAAGCTACTGGGACCCCGTGCAATCTCACTACGTCCCCAATATACAGATCGGCAAGATGATTTACCGACTCTCTCACGCGCATAGGAATGAAGTGCGCCGACTTAGTCAACCGGTCAACAACTACCCAGTTGGGTTTTGTCGTCCGTTGAGTCCTCGGAAGACCTACAACGAAGTCCATAGTGACATGCTCCCACTTCCACTCGGCAATAGGCAAGGGTTGCAACAAACCCGCTGGCCTCTGATGCTCGGCCTTCACTTGCTGGCAAGTAAGGCACTTCGACACGAAAACAGCCACATCTATCTTCATACCCCGCCACCAAAACTGGCGACCCAAAATTTTCAGATTAAAATGTAGCCCTCGACGATCAACAACTTTTTTGTAAAGGCCAAAGGTGAGTAAATCACTCCTACTAGATCAAAACCTAGAGAGAAGGTAGAGTCTAGAGTGAGAGGCTCAACAATGGTGATTTTGGAAAAGTAAGAGAGAGAAGAGAAAGTGAAAAAGTGATTTGAAGTGTCACAAATTCGGGACTTTAACCCAGGTCTCCGCTCGAGCGTAAAACACCCCGCTCGAGCGGCCACTCACAGACTTACGCTCGAGCGGCCAACCTCCCGCTCGAGCGCAGAATGCACTCGCTCAGCACTTTTGCAGAACCCGACCTCCGCTCGAGCTCCCAACCCTACGCTCGAGCGTACAACGCTGCACAGGAAAATACTGAAAGGGTGTAATCTCAGCTCGAGCGCCAAAATCCCCGCTCGAGCGTACAGGCCAAAAATCTGGGCAACTAGTTTTGGTTTCTAAACTCAACCAACCTGTAACAAATCCGCCCAACACATCCTATAACTCAAATACGAAGTAAAAAGGATGCAAACAAGATAATAAACAACTACCAACATCCACGGACACATGTCCGGATCACGGTATAACAAGGGTAAACCCGGGATCGCTATATATTCTTTATCCAAGTACATCATCACTTGTGGTTATCTATTCAAGGCTCTAAAGCTCTAAGCAACATGATCATGATTATCACCATCTTGCTCTTGCTTCCACTGGCCTATGAGAAATTAATGCAGATTGTGAAAGTTAGGTTAGCAACTTGGTAGACAGAAAGTAGCATGCCACATAAAAGAGAATTGATATGATACATAATGTTGAGATATCCACAACGCAATATAATAACATCAAACTCTCTTGCAAATGCCAACATCACCATTTAAAGCAATGTAGCTATTATGGTCAATTGAAACCTGTCATTCCATGTTCAAGTGAATAGACATGCATCTGCACTATTAATGTAGATAAATGAATAGAAAGAAAACAATAGCATAGAGAGTGAAATTGAGAATGACAACAAATCATACAGACCTCCAAACTGTAGCTACCTAAAAACCTATTGTAGTAAAAACATCATGTTTGATACAATAAGAAAAAGAAAACAACCAAAGACAAAGCAAAATTCAATACTAAAACCATGATATAAAACAAAATTCAGTTGATAGTGGAAGACAACCTTGTAAGAGAAAAATAATCCAAGTACCTACTAATTTGTGTATTTTTTCCCAATGCAACAGTCTAGGCTATTCCTACACTCTTCTAACTTATTGAGAGTATTGTTCAATGGAAATCCAAAAAAGGAATGTGAGACATGTATTTCATAGAAAAGAAAAGTTACATGACTGACCAAATATTTAAAAAAAAACTTTATAATTTTACCATACTTATTTTTATGCCTACACATCATGACTAAACAATGGATAAGAATTTTTTAAGATTGTAAACCGTCAAATAATTAAATTCAAATTTATAAAATGAGTATGAAAAAAAAATTAAAAAGCAATTAAAGTTTACCTTGTGTTTAATATTCATTTTTGGATGAATATGTTGCTTTGAGTTCCCATCAAGAAAACAAGCCAGTTGAAAACAATGTTAATTATAAAGGTTAAAAAATACAAAAAAATAAAATAAAAGAGAGATGAAGGACAATATAATATTTTAATTGAGATTCAAAAATATACATGATCCTCTAGCCAGAAAATTCAAATCATATTAAATAAACCCTCCAACGAAGCTTAACAATTAAATCATGAATTTACCTTTATAACTATAACTCATGCCTCAATTTGGAAGTGCACACACCGGTAAATAAAATATTACAAACTTTAAACTATTGTGAATTTTTCCAAAGAAATGAGCATCAAAACTAACATATTCCTATAGATTCATTTCCAACCAACAGTGGTAGAGTATTTAGAATGAATAAGGAAGAAGATTACAAAAGAAAGATTACTTTAGGAACATGACATATTTCAAAAAATTATTTAGGGACATAAAGTCTAGATAGGAGTATTTAGGAACATGACATATTTTCATAGTACATATCGTGGAAAAAAGCAGAAAATTTACTTGGCAAAAGTGTCACCCTTCAAAAATATATAAAAATAATGCCCAAATAGTATACATTAAAATCCATGTAAGCTGCTAAGATAACTATGGAATATAAAATTTTATAATATTCATGTGAGTTTACCACTTGGATGCTATTTAGGATAAAGATGAAAGAGAAATGTGCATATTTTGTGAAATTGGCACTAAAGGTAAATGCACTTATTTCTCAACTTTCAATTTTTATGTTCAATTTTTTTTAAACTTATTTAATTTATTTATGTTTTATAAGTAGAAATTGCAACAAAATACTCTCGAGTCTAGCATAAATTTTCAAAATAAAAAAGGAAAAATTATAGGTAGCCTTTTAGAAAATATTACATTTTTATATTCAACTAAGACAGAAAAAAAAAAAACGAAAGACTTTTTTATTTTTAATGAACCTTTTAGAAGATTTTTTTTCAATTTTTTGTTTTGTTTGTTTTTTTTTTAATTTTTTAGATCTAGTAGATTGACTTGAAAAGTAAATTTTTTCTACACAATTTTTTTTTAGAAAAAAAAATACTAAAAGGAAAAGCTCTATTTTTTTTTTTTTTTTTTTTGCTAGTCCCAAACTCACCAAGAATGGATCTACATTTTGCCTCACACCTTTTGGATAACTACATTTAGAGAGTTCTAAAAGCTAGGCAAACTAATTTCATGAGTAGCAATTGTTGTTGGAGTACACATATTAGGTAAAGTTGTGAGATAAAATGAAAAAGTAAAATTATTTTATATATGCTTTTGTTAAGTGAAATGCAGTGTTAGAGTTACTCTAAAAAGTAAAAAACTTTGTTGATTTACAAACCAAATCAAAACTAACCACATCACATTCAAGCAACTTCTTCCAAAAAGAGAAACAGGGATGTAATGTGAGAGCTGCGGAAGCATAGATGCTTACCAACAAGTAAAAGGGAGTGAGGGAGTGCTTACCATCAAGATGTGGTTGAAGAGGAGGAAGAGCTGCGGAAGCATAGATGTTGTAGAGAGAGAAACAGAGCCATTTGTTGATGCTGTAGTGTAGCTGAAATGAGGAAAGAGAAGAGAGTGAGCTATATCTATATATTAGTGTATGCCCGTGCCCAATGTTAGGATCAAAACATAATTGTAATTTATACGTATCGTGTTGAAATTTGTAAAATTTATGTCATTTTTTGATAAAGATACTAAAAAAATATATATTGAAATTTTGTATAGTTTGTGTCATTTTTTCCACTTTCTTAATTCTAGTGGTAATAGAAGGCTCCTCAAAAGGGCATAAAAATTCTATCAGTTAATTTTGGAAATACATGATTGCGTCTTTCACTTGTTAACTAAGACAACTTCTAAGACAATTTCTAAGAGAATTTCTTGCCACGTAGGACAAATTCAAAAACCTTCTTTCCATATTAAGTGCCTATGTAAAAAACCTTGGTCTGAATTGGGCCTAGGCTTTCCTATTTTTGAATAGCTAAAACAAACATTAAGGGTTGATAGTGAAACAACCTTCTTCTTTATTTATGAGGTATCGTTATGCATAATCATCCAATTAAAAGTATAAAGCAGGTTTAAACTTCTTCAAGCATAAAGTAAGTTTATGCCATCACTCATTACTCCCAGATGACTAACTAATAATATAGATAGTCTACTGAATTAATGTAGTTCCAAAACCAAATATTTGAAGAAAAATCAAAACGGCCAATTGGCTTAAAACTGACTTTTATTACTCTAGACCTCTTTACTGTTTTTTTTTTTTTACAAATTCTTTCTAGACCTCATTGAGCCAATCTCAGCATTGTTTAACTGGCAAAGCTAAAAGCATAATTTGTTTTATTTTTGATCAGAACTTACAATCCTCACTCTAAAAGTAAAATAAAAAATGAGAGGAAAAAAAAAAGAAGGAAATAATAGGCTTAGCTCCTGTAAAAAATAACAGACGGTTTTCACCCAATGAAACAAAAATATATTGAGTTAAGAGTCATGGTTTGGGATGTAGAATAAACTATAAGATAACTTTGATCAATTAGGACATTCACATTACGAGCACTAAGTGCATTCAAGCATGGTTAATCAAACTCTCTATAGGAAAGGTTGTTTAGTCATTTACTTGGCTTGATAGATTTACTCACTATTTGAATAACAAAAAAGTATAATCATATAAGAAAATAAACTATTTTAATTAAGGCATTTTACAGAACATCCAAAATTTGACCATAAAAAACAACCGCCACAACTTTCTAGCAAAATTTGCAATTAGTTACCTGACCAAAGGTAATGTTGAAGAAGATAACCAACAATTCTATAGCAAAATTAAATGCTTATGTGTCATGAAAATTTTATAAGTGTTAGAAAAATGAATCTGAAAGGTATAAAATTTAGAAAAGTGAATCTGAAAGGTTCAGCTAAATGCAAGTAAAGAAATTATGTCTATTCCTAACAAAGAAAAAATATACACAACATCATTACAACTTAAGCCTAAACTCAGAAAACCCACATAGAAAAACCAACATAGAAAACCCACAGAACATAGACCCAGAAGTAGAAATCAAGAGAAGAATAATATTGGTAGTTGGATGATTCCCATTATCCAAAAGCAAGTTAAAAAATTACTGGGATGATTCCCATTTCTCCACAAAATCAAACCGAAAACAAAAATATGAGAGAGGATACCATCAACTGGATTTGTTGTGTGTAAATTCCATTGAAACATTTTATCAAACACTTAATAAGCAAGGAATATAGAATGGTTATCGAACATTTTGGTAACATCCAAATGATAGTAATGGAACAACAACCATTCAATAGAGTAACTCCATACAATAGTTGCACAAATTCCTACTAAATCAAACCAACTCTTGATAAAAGTGTAAGAAAAATCAAATTCTTGTATATTATCTGTATAAGAAAAATCAACAATACTCACAATTTGATTTTGGGAATCGTTCTTTCTTTACTCCACTAATGATCAATTGATGATCTCTGTGGCTTCAAAGAAAAAAAACAAAAAAAAAATCTGTAATCAAAGGGCTGGTATGTGAAGCGCTAGAAAATTTGTAATCTAAGAAAAAAACAAAGAAAACCTTACTAATCTGGCTGCTAAGAAAAACCTTACTAATCACCCATAAGTGAAAAACTGACTTAAGGTCGGTTTCATTGAAAACAAAGGGCTGGTATGTGAAGTGCCAGAAAATTTTGGAGAACCTCATGAGGAATGAACAAATATAATCAAGATTACTTAAAATTTAAAAAAAATAAAAAAATTACTTAAGATTTTAAAAATATTTACTAAAAACATAAAAATACAAAAAATAAAAAACTTAATTTCTAAAAATTTGAAACCAAATACACTAAATACATTTCCGAAAACCACACCCCGAGTTTCAAATCCAAATACCCTACGTGTAGGAGTATAAAAATGGTCCGCAGCCTGTGGACGGCCCCATCCGCAGCCTGTGGACGGCCTGGCCCCATTAGGCTAGGGGACCTTGGGCCTGGGCCATCATTTTGAAACTCGGCTTGACCCATCGACCTGCTCAAGGCTTACTCAAAGCCCGGCCTGAGGCCCAGTGTCATTTTTTGTGAAAAAAAATAAAGTTTTGGTGAAAAAAATAAAAAAAGTTCAAACCCGATCAAAATATGAACCCAAACCCAAGCCCACTGGCTTGGCCCGCCCAAGGCCTGAATATCGAGCCTAATTTTTTGGCTTGTGGGCCGGGCCCAAATTTTGGCGAGAACCCGCGAGGTCTGACATGGCCAGCCCATGTCCTGGCTCGGGTGGGCCGGGCCAAGACAAATTTACACCCCTACCTGCGAGTAAGGAAAGCACAATTCCACTTTGTCGCCACCACTATTGATTCCCATTTGGATACTAAATTTTGCATTATATGTTTTTTTATATAATATTTATTTTATACGTGTTTTTACTCTACATTTCACTACTTTGACTTGTAATATTGGTGAACATTATGGAAGAAATACTATTCTGCAATTAAGAAAAAATCAAAGCTATTGTACACTTGTTAAACTAATTCATATAATAACACTATTCAAGTAATTTATAAATTTTCTACCAATTGAGTTCTTATTACTTCGGCGGTTTAACACCTGAATATCCTTATAAAAATATGTCAATCTTATTGTCTTGTTTATCTAAATTTTCCTCTATGTATAATGTGCACTCTAAACTAAGTTAATGAGTGTTGACATTGGATTACCTGAAAGAAAGTTCTCATACTGCTTAAACTAATTTATAGAGAAGTCCTCAAGAAGCATTAAACAAAACTTCAAGTGGTGTTTTGAACCCAGAATCTTGAGTCCCTTTGCATGATTCTGTGAGATTTTATTGGCAACAATGCACCAAAAGAAAATTAAAAAAGGGACATAACACCAACCCATATAAATTGAAAGCTGCATAAATAAAAAATGAAAAAGAAACATAACACAAAAAAAGAAAGAGAAACCCAAATACATATCAGTTTAAGGTTTAGGAAAACAAATTCAAATCTTAGAAACACAAACCCAAATTGATATATATCAAGCGTCTCTTTTACTTTAAAAAATCGAAGTTTTACTTTGATTCCAACGATTTTGACTTATCCCCTGTTTTTTTTTTTTTTTGACTTTATCATTCAATTTCTTCGTATGCTCTGTTCTAAAAACTTGAAGGTTTGACAAATGTGAATGATTTTGAGTTATATTTGACTTGATTGTATATGATTTCAACATTAATTTTCAATGCTTTGTTTCAACTTTTTCTGGGTTTTCATTACAAAGTGTGGTTCCATTAAATACATGGATTAAGGTTTGGAAAAACAAATCTTAGAAACACAAACACATACCTAATCACACAAACCTAACACAAATCCAAACCCAAACACATCAGTTTAAGGTTTAGAAAAATAAATATTAGAAACACAAGCACAAACTGAAATCTTAGAAACACAAACCCAAACACATACCTAATCAACAAAAATAAAAAAAAATCACACAAATCCAACACAATGAAACATTTCGATGAAATGATTAAACCTTGCGATTGTAGACGGTCAGAGTAAACCAATCTGCCAGAGTGAACAATGGCAACCATGCTGCGAGAGAACAATGGTTGGAGTGGTCGGAGTGAGAAATGGAGGGAGAAGAACCTCACCGATTTGTTGCCGCAATGTCGCCGATCTGCTATGTATTAAGAGTGAGCTTTGAGAGTGAGAGATGAGGAAGAAGAACCTCATGAGGAATGAACAAATATAGTCAAGATTTTGGAGAACTTCACCGATTTGTTGCCGTGAGTGAACTCTGAGAATGAGAGATGAGGGAGACAACTCAGTTTTAAATTTTGAGAGAGAGAGAGAGAGAGAGAGAGAGAGAGAGAGAGAGAGAGATGGATGGAATGGAAGAAGAAACCCCATTGTAAACCCACTGTAGGATTGAATCACCATTGTAAACCCCATTGTCTCTTGACATTTTTTAGCTGTTGGATTGAATCAATCCAACGGTTCACATTTTGACAAAGGGACAACAGTCCCATCAGATTTCAAAAACCACTCTCCCTTATTATATAGATTTTATTCACATTTCACTTACTTTTTATATTTTCTTTTTTAAATCATTTTTTAAATCTCTGAACTAAACACAGTATAACTAAATTTGTTGATGAATTTGTTAAGTTTTTGTTTTTTTCCCCCAAGTGTTAAATCACTAAGGACTTCAAATGCAAATTATAACTTTAAGCATTGCACTATGAGGTTTTATCCTAGAATGTTTGACTAGGTAAATCTCTGGGCAGTTCTTTTGTTTTTGGTTTTTTAGATTCAAACATCCATTAGGCAAGCTTGTTTATTGATCCAACGTTTTTGTTCAATTCAACAATCAATTTCTTTAATAATTACTTTCTTAAGGTTATGATGTTATGCGTCGCTCTCTTAAAAGTGGGGGGGATAAAGCAAGACGAGCTAGATTTAAGTCAAGTTTATGTTGGATTAATCATCTATGTAAAATAAATAACTTGAAATCAAATCAAATAAATAAAAATAAATTATTTACAGAATTTATTTACCAAAATGAATAAGTACAAAATTATATCAAGTCGAGTGTGTGACACTCTGTCCTTAAGACAGATTTGCCTCGCTTCAGTGCTTGCGGATGAATAACGTCTATCTATCAGGATACAATGATCTTCACAGATTGTAGTAGCACTCCAAACTGTCTGTACGGTGAACAAAACCATTGTTGATGATGATGTCTCCCCTGCTCCATCTCTTTTCTTCTTCTTTTTCTTCTTATTTCATCTCCATCCCCTCTGTTTCAGAACAGAGAAAAAAAAGAAAAAAAAAAAAAATCCAAAACGACGTCATTTTGAATTCGAGGCAAATTCGAGCTTGAGAATTTCGAGGCCTATAGCAGCTCTGATATTATTAAAACCAAAAAAGCAAAAGAAGAAACAAATTTTCAATGATGTCATACAGATGAAAGGGTAGCAAATTAGTAGCCATCCAACATTATTTTTGTTGTCGATATTCCATATTAAAGACATGGAATCAGTTTATACTGTAAAATTTCTCTTTAAGATCATATGTTCATATCTCTTATATAACTTCATTTAGTTGAATTAAAAAAATATATATGTAAAATAAATATAGTCATTTTGTTTTTCATTTGAGATAATTTGATTTTTCATCTACTATTTTGTAGTTAATCTAGTAATAAATAATAAGTTTTAAAATTTTGAAATTGGAGAAATAAAATTGAGTTGAAATTAAACACATTTTATGAATCATCTCACATTAGTAGAGATTAGTTTCATAAAATTTAAACTGCAAAAAAAATTAATATTTGTATACATTTGATATTTTTAATTAAGTGTGAATTTTTTTTTATGACACATTAATAAGACAATAACCTAAAATGAGACGACACGATAACACAATAAAATAAATGGGTTAGGTTAGTATTGAAGAAATTCTGACATGAACATTTGTTATGATTCATGTGTATTTTTGTTGCTTCTTGGACACGCTGATGCAGTAATTTTGAAAAAGAACAAGACACAATATGTGGAAAGATACCCACAAAATATATGATTATATATATCATTTACATGAATATTTTATTACTATGAATAATTTTGACAAAATTTTTCATATATATGTAGTACTCTAACACACAAATCACAGTGAATTCACTGGAAAAGATTCTTGGACACCCACATTGAAAGTTAAAGATGTGGGGGTAGAGTGATTGAAAAAGCCCTAGGCTTCAACTTTATTGTCGGGGAATTTTAATTTCACTGTAAGCAAGCAAGGAAGTCGATTTAGCAGATGCCTTTTCTTTTTTTTTTCTTTTTTTTTTTTTTTAAAATTTCATTTATGAGTTCTATATAAAGGGCAAGTCAGATTGCAAGAAGACACACAACACAAGCCTTCATATTCTAATTTTAGAAAGAGTTTTTGCATTGTCTTGCTTTTGTCTACGTAGCCTAACATGGCCAAGATGACACCAGGTTCCGAGGAACTTATCAAAAGTGACCGAATTATGTTCAAGGGCACCGAAGACACTATGTTGATGAAGCAAATTCAGGCAACTCATGCTCCAGATGGCCATGAAATCAACGTCAGATTTATTTTTCAAATCGTTGAGGATATACTCACCCGTTCCGGCATGCATGCTCCAAGCTCCGTGGCGGTATAAATATAAATTCTACATTAATCCTCCTCTTCCTTAAACAAATGAAGTTTATGTTCCACTCATGTCAACATCAAGTGCTGCAAAAATGAATGCCATCATTAATTATTATCATCATTTGGTTTAAGCAAAAGAGATGCAATGCAGCAAATTATATAAATCTGCAATTTTTTTCGTTGTCGTTGCTAATTAATTCACTTGTGATTTGACTGTAGAGCATGGACATCGATGCACACGTGGAACAGATGGATGACAAAGGCCCGCTGACACTCACTTGAGTCAGTGCATCCTATAATTGATCGACTTACGGGGGAGGTTATAAATTCAGAAAAATGCTACATATAATCGAATTTCTTATTCTATTTTCTCACATCTAGACACAAAGTGAGTGGATCTCTAATAAATTTATTAATGTGGGTCACATTGCTTTGTATTTGGTAGGGAAAAAAATAAGGTAAAAAAAATGGGATTCTGTATAACTTTGCTCATAAATTTATTTTAACACATACAGAATTACAGTTGTTTCATATTTCATATTTCGTATAATACAATAAATGGTACGAAAATGCATGCATGTCCTTTTATAGTATTTATACAATGTAAGAAATGCTCCAATCATGAGAGAAAGACAAGGGTAAGAGGCGTTTATTGGATTCCCTATATCATCCCTATAAAACTTGTATCATTTTTTTTTTAATTTTTATTTTATTCAATTCATTGGCATCTAGAGATTTATTTATTTTAGTTTTGTTTTTTTAATTATCTAATTAACTATTTACATTACTATTTATCCATTTTAATATGTATTATCAGATACTATTCAAGTGTATTGAAGGCAAAGATGATCATCAAGTGGCAGCCTTAATGTTTAACATGCTATCAAGCTATTCATGGGATGCTAAGCTGGTGTTAACATTATCAGCTTTTGCATTGTACAATGGACACTTATGGCTCCTTGTTCAGACTCATACATCAAACGTACTTACAAAATCAATGGCAATGCTTAAGGGATTACCACGCATCATGGAGCACATTGATGCACCGAAATTATGGTTTGATGAACTAAGCAAACTAATCACGGCCATGTTGGATTTGAGCCGGTGCATTGTGGCGTTGATGGAGCTACCCTCTTCATACGTCACACAGGATATGCCTGCCTTGTCAGAAGCCATGGCCACTGTCCCAATTGCTGTCTATTCGACCGTTAGAGGCATGCTTACTTGTGCAAATCAGATCTACTTTGCCTATAGGTATGTTTTTGCTATCAATGAATGCAGTTACATAAAATGCATCATCAATGTTTATTTGATAAACAAAATTAATTATGCATTACCTTATTCAAAATATCAATTTAGGGGTACAAAAATTATAGCAATTGATCATATGTAATGGCGGCGTTTCAACTTCAATAACAAATCTGTGATTTTGAGAATTAACCTTGGTGGAATTTAATGGATATATGAGGTTAAAAATTGTCACTAAAACAATGTTACATGACCTATATACATATGTAGTTTCTTTCTTGACACTACATGTACATATAATTTCAGATATGCAGCATCTGCAGGGGACCTACCCACCATTACTTACAAGATCAACAGCATACACGACCATCTTAAGAGGAAGCTCGATCTCTGCTACAAACTCATAGGTAATTAAACGCTATATCAATTGTATGGATATATATATAGGTAGGAGGACTCAATTGCTTATTGTAATGTCCTACATATGGATGGACTGATTCTAACTAAATATTATTGTTTGATGCAGAGGAGAAAAAAACTTATGAGGCACTGCTGCATATCTTTGAAATGGTCCACATAGACAACATAAAAGTTCTGAGGACGCTGATTTATCCCAAGGATGATCTGCAGCCACTCTTTGATGATTCTACTAAGAGAAGGGTTTGAACATTGACTCTACTAGTAGTATAGTAACTACAATTAGTCTGATGAATCTATCAATGACACGTTAAGATTATGAGTAGACTAAGGTGGTTGTATTTGTTTGTGGGATTAGACCATTGGATCATGTATCTTTAGTCAATCTCGAATCTCATATTTGGATACAAAGTGAATTTTTGGATTGACAGGCCCGTATATCCCCCCATATGAGGAACTAGGGTAATGGGATACAAAATGGGGGATTATAGGGTGTCCAGATTAGAGGCTAAAAGACAAAAATATCCTCAAATTACGGTCATTACACCATTTAGTCTATGTCTAGTGATTCTCCCCCCCTTCCCCCCCCCCCAAAAAAAAAAAAAGAAAAGAAAAAAGGGATAGAATAGGATTCTACTAATCCCCCTCCTAATCTAAGACATTCCAAATGTGGGATAGGATACATAATCGTAATTTGTAAGGCATTAATAAACCCAGGACTATTAATCCAACCAAACAAACAGCGCCTACTTGTTTTCAACATTTGTAGCCTTTGCATATTCACTGATTTCTTTGCCTGTATGGCCAAAAACAGGTTAATCTGGAAGTTTTGAGGAGAAAGAATGTATTATTGCTGATATCAAGCCTAGACATCTCTCTGGATGAGCTTTCAATTCTCGAATAGATTTATAATGATTCTCGTCAACATGGAACAAGGTTGGATAATCTGTTTGAGATGGTTTAGATCCCAATTATGAACCAATCAGTGCAATGGACAGAGCCCATGCAAAGGCAGTTTGAGAGCATGCAATCCATGATGACATGGTACACGGTGCACCACCCCTCATTAATTGATCGATTGGTGATTAGGTTCATCAAGGAGAAATGACACTTCAAGAACAAGCCCATCCTTGTGGTGCTAGACCCACAAGGTGTAGACACCCCATTTTTGACCGACCTTAAGACTCAGACGTCACCGATTGAGCACTTGGTGATGTTGCAAATCGTGCTTGTTCAGAGGTTTCAGAGTCTTGGCCGCGAGCCTTGCCTCCGGACTTCCGGACTCTTTCATGCTTTGCCTCAGCTTGCGAACCAGGCTCTGTTTTCTCTGTTTGCTCTTCCCGAAGGGAGGGAGAGGTCTCGTAGATCATCTCTCAGTGGCCGTAGGCTATGTTTCGTGGTCGTAGGCCATTTTGCCCGTTTGGAGTCTGCTTTTCGGTTTTTCGGTTTTCCGGAGCCGTTGGCCGTGTGCCTTTGTTCGGGACCGCTTAACCACCTCCGTTTGCTCCGGTTTTTGGCATGCATCTTGTTTTCTTCCTTTTGAGGGACACTGTGGCCTGAAAAACCAACTTCGTGGTCGAACACCACTTTCGGCGCCTAACAGCCAGCTTTCGGGACCTCGGGCTGCGCGTTTCGGCCCCCGAACCTCCATTTTGCATCGGTTTGAGCTCATTTTTGGCAGGGACCTCTGTTTCATTATTTGAAAGGTCGTAGAAGGGTGGGAGGCCAGTAATTGTTCTGACAACCAGTTTTATTCCTCCATCGCCCGTTTTTTCCACTTGAAAGCCAAAGTTGACCAACCTAAGGCCATTTTTTCTTGCCCCAAACCACATATTTGTGTTGTACACACCTGGAAGGCCACCAATATCACATGGCCAGCCAGTAATTCTTTCTGACCCTTTTGAACCCCTTCTAAAAGTGGCATTTTCTCTCTCCTGGTTCACTTTCTCTAGTTTTTTACTACATGGTTGTGTTGTACACACATGAGAGGCTCCTTTTTTGGTATGGCCGGCCATTAATCCTCATTGACCCTTTTGACCCTTGGCCGGCCGGCCATGGGGAGAGCCAGCCGGCCACCTGCAACCTCAATAACCAGCCGGCCTTACTCCTTGCTGCAGGTACATTTCAAATATGCATCTCTTTTCCCCCCAGATTTTGTATCCCGGGGGGACCAACTTTTTGGGAAAAAACTTGAATTCATTTCCCTCCCATTTTTTCCCCCTTTTCTCCCCCTCTTTTGCCTATAAAACCAGCCTCCTAGCTCTGGTTTAAGGGTTAGAAAATTTGCCTTTGAGCTCCCATATTGTATCTCTCTCCCTCTATACTTCCAAGCTTCAAACCTCTCAAGTCCTACACTCATTTCTACACCACCACCTAACACCACACCACCACTCCATTCCAGCAGCTTGGAGGGCCTTCTCAGAGCTTTGGAGGCACCTTTTCTCAAGCCAAAAGGCTGCTAAAGTTTGGTCTTCAAGGGTGAGCAACATTTCTTCTCTTTTAAGCTTATTTTTGTATCATTTCTAAGCCATACATGCTTGCATATTTGGGCTCCGACCCTAACTGAAAATAGTCTTTTTTTGATGTATTTTTCATGTTTGTTTTAGGGTCCTTCCATTTTTAAGGTCCCTAGCTACCACTTGCTTCATTACCCCTCTTGTGTGCATATTTCTTGTGTAGTATTTTTCGCCTACGTGTAAACTGTTTTGAGCTCTGTCACAAACTGTAAAGTGGTTTATTTTGAGCCTTTCTTCAACATTGTTGAAGGGCTCATCACTGTTTGAAGCTTCCATTTGCCACTTGCCTTTATATCCCTCTTTTGGCCTTATTTTTGCATGATTTGTTAGCCCCTTGTGTTTGCATTTTTGGACTCTGGTACAAACTATAAATGACCTTATTTTGACCCCCTATTCATGTTTGATCAAGGGTATTTTGCTGTTTGAGGCCCGATTTGTACACTTTGTGTTTAAGCCTCTTTTTAGGCCTTATTTTGCATAATATTTTAGGCTTGCTTATGCACTGTTTTGGGCTCGGTTGTAAACTGTAAAGAGCTTCATTTTCATCCCCTCTTCAACTTTGTTGAAGGGCTCTTATCCATTCAGGGCCAGCAGCTGCCACTTGCTTCATTACCTCTCTTTCGGGGCCATTTTTGCATGCTAGCTTAGCCCCATTTGTGTTCATTGTTTGGCCTTACTTAAAACTGTAAACATGATTATTTTGGCGCTGCCTTGAATCTTTCTTCACACATCATGTTCAAATAGTGCATGTTTTGTATAGCTATAGGTCATCGTGCATGCCTAGTTTTGCATTTCGGGTCTCATTCCATGCATCGGGTGCCATGTTTCTATGATTCGGGACTGTTTTGGGTCATATTTTAGCGCTGAAATTTCCATGCTAGTATGCCATATTCCATGCCTTGCCATGTCTTGTTAGAGTGGCATTCGTGCTTTAGGTTTGGTCCTCGGTTTGCGTGCATGTGTGCACGCATTCCGAGTTGTCTCATTTTCATCGCATGGCCTCCTATGTGAGTGCGGCTGAGGTCCACTCACATTGGTGTAAGCCCATATTGCATTGTGTATGCCATTTCATTTCATAGCACTGTGTATGCTAGGATGTATGTTAGTGCATTGTGTATGCCATGTTACCTTGTGCATCGTGTATGCCATCTCATAGCATTGTGCATGCTAGGTTGTATATTAGTTGCATTTATGCATGTCATGCATATTGCATTGTGCTTGGGATAGGAGTTAGCCCGAGCACGGGAAACGAGGGACGTTTCGTACTTCGAGTGACGGAACATGTCTCAATTCCCAGTCACCGACACTCCGGATTATCCATGATGGAGTTTAGGTTTTGTTATGTCAGTCAGTTTTTGGGTCCTCGGGCTGCGTGTTTCGGCCCCCGAACCTTCATTTTGCATCGGTTTGGGTTCATTTTTGGCAGGGACCTCTGTTTCATTGTTAGGAAGGTCATAGAAGGGTGGGAGGCCAGCAATTGTTCTGAC